AGCAAGTAGTGGTTTTGATTCCCTGTACCAGGAGGTAAGACAGGGGAAAGGGTTTTTCCCTGACTCTTCAAGTATCAATTTAACAGGAAGATCTAATATATACCTATTTTGTGGACAGTACAAATGGAAATACCTCAGAAGTAGAGTAGACAGAAAAATCTTGCTTACTCTTTTGATCTCTAAAAAAAAAAGGTGCTGGGGATTAAACATGCAAAGCATATGCTTTCCCATTGAGTCACAGTGCCCAATCCCCTTAAGAATTGGCTTATTCTAATAAAATAGGAGACTAACACCCAAGCAAGGCCAAGATTATTACCAGTATGTTTGCTCCATGGCTTGGAGGCCAGCCACACATGCTAGGGGGAGAGGGAGCTCAGATAGAGAAGGGAGCATCAAATAAAGGGTGTTGAGAGGATCCTCCCAGGATGGGAGATGCATGCTGAAAGTAGACTATAGACCCGACATGATTGCCACTCAATGCCTCTTTTGCAAACCACAGCACCCAGAAGGAGAGAGAGAACAAAAGGGAATACCCTGCCACAGAGGTAGGGTGGGATGGGGGGGATAGGGGTTGGGAGGGATACTGGGACCCGTGGTGGTGGAAAATAGGCACTGGTGTAGGAATGGCTATTAGACCATTGTATAATTGAAATCCAAGCACAAGAATTTGTAAGTCTACAACTGTACCACATGGTGTTTCACTAATAAAATTTAAAAAAAATAAAAAAAAGAAAATGTCATGAGATAACTTAATAAAATGATCCCAATGAAATAATTGAAGTAGGACGTTATCACCTATGGACAAAATGCATGTGTATGAAGTATTTGAAGACTTCATTTCACCTAGCCTAATTTCTAACCTCTATATATTAAAGCTACTATAAAACCAGAATAAGAAATATAAATTCTCATATGCAATACCAAATTATTTTTTTAACTAGTGTATAGGGAAAATATCCCTCAGAAGTAGGCCAATTATTTTCTTTCTCTCTGGATTTTTAATTAAATAATATTAGGAAACCAAAAGTTACATTATGGTTACATTATTAAAGAATGTAAATTTACTCAAAATTTTAAAATTAGCAATTACAATTCATTTTGAAATATTCACACCAATTTAACACTTATTGGGGTTTTTACTTTTAATGTTTGTGAATTTTACAGTGTTTTAAGATCTCTATTACCTATATGGTGAAAAATAAAAACTATTTGAAGTTTAAAAAAAAAGAATTGGCTTATTCTGGGACTGGAGAGGAAAATGCAATAATGGGCTAAAGCACAAGCTTTGCATGCAAGTATGCTGCTCCTCCCCCCCCCCCCCCAAAAAAAAACCCGAAACAAATAATCATCTTAATTCAGAAACCTAATCCAAGTTGTCAGCATTAAGTGGTTAAATTGGGTTTTATCTGCTCCTAAATTAGAAATTGGAGGGGTGGGGGGTTGGGTTACGGTAGACCTTCGTGCTTGGCTTGCATGAAGTTTGGTTTGGTGCTTGGCTTGCATGGGTTTGATCCCTGACAACCTATATGGTTTTCCAATCCTGCCATGTGTATTGATCCCAGAGCGCAGAGCCTGGAATAAGCCCTGAGCATAGCCAGCTGTGATTCAAAAGCAGCAACAAAATTTCTGGTTTAAGGTAAAGTTAAAATATACACAAAAGTAGAATGATCCTCATGTAAATGGTTACAAATGTCTCAATCCCAAACACAGTCTTCCCTCTCTTCTCATGTCAGGCACATTTCTGAATTTCTCAGTATATAACTCTAAAGCATAAAAAGAGCACCGGTTCCACAAAGATAGGTTAAGTATGTAATAAATCCCTAAATAGCTAGTGTCCACAGTTCAAATTCTCACTTTTCCTTTCAGCTGATTTTCTTGAATGATAGAGAGAATGACAAATCTGTGACTGTCCACAAATTAGGATTTATAAAGTCTAGCATAGAATTTCGGGCCGGATCGATAGCACAGCAGGTAGGGGGTTTGCCTTGCACGCAGCTGACCCGGTTTTGAGTCCTCTGCCCCTCTCGGACAGCCCGACAAGGTACCAAGAGTACCCCACCCGCACGGCAGAGGTTGGCAAGCCCCCCGTGGCGTATTCTATATGCCAAGAACAGTAACAAAAAGTCTCACAATGGAGACATTACTGGTGCTCACTCAAGCAATTCGATGAACAACGGGAGAACAGTACTACAGTGCTAGAAGTAACAGTGAACTGGGTTCTGGGGAGCATGTAACTTGATGCTCTTCCTTTGACTTTTTTGGTGAAAAGGTCAAGTGACCATTATAGATCTAGAGTTTAAGACCAGGTTTCTAAGGAGGAAGTAGAAAAGCACATAAATGTGGGCCTCGGAAGTAATACAGTGGTACCTTACATGTCTGAACGATGTGAAGACTTAGGGTCTAAGGTGATTAGAAAGAATATTTGGAATATAGTGTTGGGGTCATTACTGGTGGCATCACTATCACTGTCATCCCGTTGTTCATCAATTTTCTCGAGCGGGCCCAGTAACGTCTCCATTTTGAGACTTTGTTGTTACTGTGTTTGGCATATTGAATAAGTCACGGGTACCTTTCCAGGCTTTGCTGTGAGAGCAAGATACTCTTGGTAGCTTGCCGGGCTCTCCGAAAGGGGCAGAGGAATTGAAGCGGCCTCAGTCAAGCCAGCTGCACACAAGGCAAACGCCCTACCACTGTGCTATCGCTCCAGCCCACTGGCGGTGGTGAGTGTTTTATTTTTAACTTATTGATTTTTAAATCCAGACGCAGCTGTGCTCGGGGCTTACTTATGGCTTAGACTCAAGGGTGACTTCCGGACCCTTTGTGATGCTGGGGATCAAACCCCATTAGGCTGTACCACTGCAGCACTGTCCTCCCATTGTTCATGGATTTGCTCGAGCGGGCACCAGTAACATCTCACAACAAATCGTGATATTTGCTGTTACTGTTTTTGACATATGGAATACGTCACGGGTAGCTTGCCAGGCTTTGCCTTGCGGGCAAGATACTCTCAGTAGCTTGCCTGGCTCTCCGAGAGGGGCGGAGGAATCAAACTCGGGTTGGCCATGTTGGCTACATGCAAGGCGAACACCCTACCCGCTGTGCTATCACTCCAGCCCTAATTGGCTATATTAAAACAAATTCCTTACTATGTAGCTTAGTCCTGGATCTGCACTCAGGGATTATTCCTTGTAGTGTCAGGCACGAGACCATAGTGGGTGACAGGATGAAACCTGGTCAGCCACATGCAAGGCAAGCACCTTACCTACTCTCCAGCCCCCGTTACATAGATTTGAAAGGAAACTACTGTTACAGTTCTTGAATCTAAGTATTAATAAATATATACTTATCAGTGCTGGATAAAAACATTTAGCATTGATATTGATAACCATTTTTTTCTTAACTTTATAGCAGCTGGAGGAAAACTGTGAATATTGATTGAGGGAAGTTGACATTGGTGTTGGGATTGGTTTTTGGAAAACTGTATTCCTGAAACTCAACTAAGAATGGCTTCTGTAAATCACGGTGCCTTAATAAATATTTTTTAATAAAGATAAAATTTATTTTAAATTATGTGGCCTAACGGAACTGGAGAGATAATACAGTGATTAGGGCATTTGCCTTGCATGAGGCTGCCTCGGGTTTGAGTCCTCACTATACCATATAGTCCTCAAGCACATCAGGAGTAACCCTTGAGTGAAGAGCCAGGAGAAACACCTGGAGAAGAATCAGTGCTATTTTTGAAAAAGCACATATATTAGCTAACAGTCGGGAACAATTTTAACATGTTAGAGAAAAAAATGATGTCACTGCAGAATCTAAGGAGAAAATGATATACCTAGGTTCCCATCCCTGGAGAGAGAATGACCATTCAGCTTAGGTCTAAGTTTAGTATGTTCGTTTCTTTTTGTTCTATTTTATTGTGATCCCATGGCTTACCCCGTTTCTGGCTTGCCCCGTTTCTTCCTCAACAAGGATAAAATTAGGAGGATTAAGAAAGATTTAGGGAAGAATTGACAGACTGAAATTAGATTATGCATATTAACAAAGATCCCACAACTCACCTTGATCGATTTATTAGGAAAGTATATCCCAGTCCAATCAAAGCTCTGAAAGTCCACCAAAAGTCCCGCCCCCCACTTTCTCCCTCCCTCCCTATCCATCTTTCCTGGGTGGGTCTCTAAAGAAGAGAGACCCACCCAGTGAACAGTACATAAACACTGTGGTCACTGTCAAGAGCAGACAGTGTGTGACCTCCACAGCCCTACAAGGAGAGTCAGCTCATGCCATCATCTAAGACTGCCAGACGAGGTCCCCCTTGCTGTGAGTAGAAATCAATGAGGGGATTTGCAGTTATTTGGGGCTAAAGCTTAACTCTTATGGCTTCTTTATGGAGCACAGAGTCTAGAGGGCACCTCACAGATGATCTGATATTAATGTACCTTATACTAAGTCCCAGATGTTAGTTTTCATCGCTGTGATCTAGCTTGAGTTTCCCACTCCACATTATGGAGGTGGAATTCTCCAGAAGCTCTAGTCTTCAAGGCTGGTGAGACTGGAGGTGGTCTGAAAGAAAGGAGGCAAAGAGAATAATCAGAGGCTCATTACAATGCTCAAGGTATGTGAATATCGTTTGAGAACCCAACCCTGAGACCAGAGATGTGCTCATCAGAGGGCACCCCTCATTGAGAGAAAAACATAGTCCAGGACATAAGTTTAACTGTGTGACTCTTTTCTGGTAGGAGAGAATTCAAGGAGCCCCTGTCTATAAGGATTGCCTGTTGACCCTTACCTGCCCTTCCCACACCCGAGGATGGAGGAGGTGTCGGCTGTCCTGGTCAAAAAGCAGCCAAGGCTCATCTGTCCCATCTGACTGGTATACCTCAATAACCCCATCACCATCGACTGCAGCGACAACTTCTGTGACTCCTGCATCCGCATGTCATGGAAAGACCTGCAGGACAGATTCTGTTGTCCCGTGTGCCAGGGGGGCCCACCAGGACATGCGCGTCAGTGGTAATGCCCAGCTGGGCAGGCTGGTGGACCTGGTCAAGCTCTTGCACAGCTCTGTTAGCAGTGAGATGGCGCGGGCAGAGCAGCGCAAGTGTGAGGAGCACAGGCAGGGGGTGAGCCTGTTCTGCGAAGATGACCAGGAGCCGGTATGTCACCTGTGCGCCCAGGGCCCTGCCCACCATGGCCACCACGTCAGGCCCGTGGAGGAGGTTGCACATCAGTACAAACAGAGGCTCGGTGGCTTCATTGAGTCACTGAAGACACAGCGGGCAATGGTGGAGAAGCTCTTAGTCATCCAAGATAGAAACCTCCCGCAGCTGAGAGAGGAGGTAAGAATGCATAACAGTCAGTTGGCCTCGGAATTTGAGTAGCTCAGCCAGTTTGTGGAGCCTGAGAAAGAGGCAGCGCTCTGCAGGAGTCCAGAGGACAAACGCCTGCAGCAGCAGTTCAGGGCCAACGTCGCTCTTTACTCAGACCATATCTCAATGCTGAAAGACCTCAGAAAGGAGGTGGCTGAGCTGAGCTTGATGTCCGAGGAGATGTTGCTGAGGGGGTTGAGGGGCCTGCAGCAGCGCTCGGCGGGTCTGCAGCCCAGGGCTGTGAAGCTCCTGCCCTCCAGGCCGGTGGCCTACAGCCTCCTTCCTCTGTGCTCGGCGCTCAGCAGCATCATGCGGAGATTTCGAGAGAGCATCAGCCTGGACCCCGACACGGCCCACCCCAGCCTGCGCATGTCTAAAGATAAAAAGTTTGTGACCTGGGTGAGGAAAAATCCCAACCTTGCTGGGTATCCCGGACCCTAGGATGAGACCGCCCAGCTGGTGGTCCTGGGCCGGGAGGGCTTCGCCTCTGGCCGCCACTACTGGGAGGTGCAGGTGGGCGCCAAGCCCGAGTGGGCCGTGGGCATGTGCAGCGTGGCCCCTTCGGCCCAGGTCTCGCGTCCCCTGGCGGCTCCCAAGAGATGCTGGACACTGCAGCTGCAGGAAGGCGACTACCTGGCCATGAGCATGAGTGCGGGGGCAGTGCCTCTGGCTCTCAGGGACCAGCCCGCGGCGGCCATCGGCCTTTACCTGGACTGGGAGCTGGGCCAGCTTTCCTTCTACAACGCCGCCCACAGGTCTCACCTGCACTCATTCACCGAGCCCTTTGCTCAAAAGCTCAGCCTGCTTTCGCTTGGGGCCCGACTGCGCCCCTCCGTCCGTTGGCGTGGGGAGGGTTTAAAGGGAGGATAATCCCGTGTCTTTATTTTCCCATTCTAAGTGGAAAACTGTTGATGTAAACATGATGAAACAGTTGCATAGATATTCATATTTAGGGGCAATGAAGTAGAAACCTTCTCTTTTGTAATAAGTCGTATATAGAAATAATTGTACCCTTATTTGTTGTAAATAAAACAAAAAATTTTTTAAATGTAAAAGATATTTCAGGTCTTCTGTGCAACAGTAAAGTATTTTGAAAGCATTGCAAAACTTCATAATTGTTATTATATAACACATTATCTGTGAGGTTGGAAGATTTGACTTTCACCAATTTTCATGTTACAGAATCAATATTCACAACGATAAAAGATTTCCAATTTTTTGGAAGAATATGTAAGTATGATATTTAACTAGTGGCAGACATTTTCACATAGACAAAAAATCTGAATAGACAGTACACCCTATCTTTAATTCTGTGTGGTGGAACTGTGATTGCCTATTTTGTATGTTTTGAGGGTTTTATATCTAATTTCATTTTATTCATATAGCTTATACATGCATATACTGAGATTAGTTAGAAAACATTTTTTTCTTTCCATTATATTTTCTGTTTTTTTTGTTTGTTTGTTTTGCTTTGTTTTTTCACAACCAGGTTAGGACTGACTTCCAAATTCATGCCTAAGCACGGATCACTCAGGGGACCAAATTAGTTTCAAGTAGTATATTCCTCATCTCCTTCTGAGCCCACACTATAGGCACCTTAACGTTCATGTTTATACTAACATACTCCTTAGTACAATATCACTGTCACTGTCCTCCCATTGTTCCTCCATTTGCTTGAGTGGGCCCAGCAACGTCTCCATTGTGAGATTTGTTACTGTGTATGGCATATCGAATACATCACGGGGAGCTTGCCAGGCTTTGCCATGTGAGCGAGATACTCTCAGTAGCTTGCCAGGCTCTCTGAGAGGGAGAGAGGAATCGAACTCAGGTCAGCCATGTTGGCTGCGTGCAAGGCAAACTCCCTACCCGCTATGCTATTGCTCCAGCCAAATATTCAAAGTATAAATTTTAATTCTCTGTTGTGTTACTGTGTGCAGAAACTGACATAGCATTTTTTTTTTTATGAAACAATGGAGCCACCATGCGGAAACTGAATAGTTTGTTTGTGGAATGCTTTTAAAAAGCATCTTTGAGGGGCTGCAGCAATAGCACCGTGGCTAGGGTGTTTGCCTTGCACGCAGCCGACCGGGGTTTGATTCCCAGCATCAATATGGTTCCCCGAGCACGCCAAGAGCAAGTCCTGAGTACATGAGCCAGGAGTAACCCCTGTGCATTGCCGGGTGTGACCCAAAAAGCAAAAAATTTAAAAAAAAATAAAAAGCATCTTTGATCTTAGAGATTGGTGAATGTAGGCAGATTCTGGGGAGAATGCAGTCAGTGATGTGTAAGAGAGAGGTGCAGCCCTGACTGTCACCCTATGGTCCTAACCAAAATGAATTCCTCTTCATTTGAAGTTTCATATGGGGTCGAAGAAGCAGGAACCATGAGTGGAAAGAACGTAGAGTGAAAACAATGATAAGAGGTTAGGGATGTTTGGAGTAATCCTTGAAATAACATTGTAGACTCAGAAATTTTGATATCTCAGGTATTTGAAATGTAGGGAAGAAAAAGATAAGAAATCTCAGGTAATTGAAATGTAGGAGAAAAGACAGAAAAGAGTAAGATAAAAAATTGATTTGGTTAGAAGAGGGGCAACACAGTAATAGTGAGCTCTAATATATTGCTAGACAGCATATTAGGCAGATGAAACAAAACTATTATGATAACCATAACAAATCCTCCAATAAAAATGTAACTGCAGCTTTCTTTTTCTCAGCCTTTTCGAGCAAAACTAAGACCACATACTAGTCCATGTGTAAATTCTAATTTTTTGATAATTAATAGATAGAACCTGTTTTAATGTCAATAAATCATAATATAATTATTAAAAGGAAGGCTTGTAACAAGTAGATACTCAAAGATACATGGCCTTATAATACTTTTTTTTCTTTTTTCTTTTTTTATTAGTGAAAAACCATGAGGTACAGTTATAGGCTTACAAATTTTGTGCTTGGGTTTCAGTTATACAATGATCAAGTGCCCATCCCTCCACCAGTGCCTGTCATCCATCCCCATGGGTCCCAGCATCCCCCCCCACCCTCATCCACCCCCCCCCCCGTCCCATCCTGCCTCTGTGGCAGGGTATTCCCCCTTGTTCTCTCTCTCTTCTTTTGGGTACTGTGTTTTGCAAGAGAGGCTTTGAGTGGCGATCATGTTTGGTCTATCGACTACTTTTAGCATCCTTCTCCCACCCTGGGAGGGTCCTCACAACACCCTTCATTTGGTACTCTCTTCTCTATCTGAGCTTCCTTTTCACCTAGAGCCTGTGGCTGGCCTGCCATTCATGGAGCAAAATTCCTGGTACTAATCTCAGCCATTCCTGGGTGTTAGTCTCCCTTTTTGTTGCTTTATGTTCCCCAGATGAATGCAATCTTTCTGTGTCTATCCCACTCTTTCTGACTCATTTCGCTTAACATGATACTTTCCATGTAGTACCACTTGTATGTAAATTTCACAACTTCATCTTTTCTAACAGCTACATAGTACTCCATTGTGTAAATGTACCAAAGTTTCTTTAACCAGTCATCTGTTCTTGGGCACTCAGGTTTTTTCCAGATTCTGGCTATTGTAAAGAGTGCTGCAATGAACAAACAAGTGCAGATGTCACTTCGACTATACCTTTTTGCCTCTCTGGGATATATTCCCAGGAGTGCTATAGCTGGGTCAAATGGCAGATCAAATTCTAATTTTTTGAGAGTCGTCCATACTGTTTTCCAAAAGGGTTGGACCAGCCGGCATTCCCACCAGCAGTGAAGGAGGGTCCCTTTCTCGCCACATCCGCGCCAGCACCGGTTGCTTTTGTTCTTGTGGATGTGGGCCAGTCTCTGTGGTGTGAAATGATATCTCATTGTGGTTTTGATCTGCATCTCTCTGATGATTAGTGATGTAGAGCATTTTCTCATGTGCCTTTTTGCCATTCGAATTTCTTCTTTGCGAAAGTTTCTGTTCATTTCCTCACCCCATTTTTTGATGGGGTTGGGTGATTTCTTCTTGTGGAGTTTAACCAGTACCTTGTATATCCTTGATATCAACCCCTTGTCGGATGTGTACTTGGTGAGTATCCTTTCCCATTCTGTAGGCTGTCTTTGTATTTTGGTCAATGTTTCTTTTGAGGTGCAGAAGCTTCTTAGTTTAAGATAGTCCCATTTGTCTATCTCTGTTTTCACTTGCTCGGCCAGTGGCGTGACATCTTTGAAGATACCATTAGCTTCAATATCATGGAGAGTTTTGCCGACTTTGTCTTCAATAAACATTATGGATTCTGGTCTGATGTTGAGGTCATAAATCCATTTTGATCTTACTTTTGTGCATGGTGTTAGGCAGAGATCTGAGCCCACTTTTTTGCATGTAGCCGTCCAATTTTGCCAGCACAGTTTGTTGAAGAGGCTTTCCCTGCTCCATTTCACTTTTCTTGCCCCCTTATCAAAAATTAGATGATTATATGTTTGGGAGGAAATGTCAGTATATTCAACTCTGTTCCATTGGTCTGCAGCTCTGCTTTTGTTCCAGTACCATGCTGTTTTAATTATTACTGCCTTGTAGTAGAGTTTGAAGTTAGGGAGGTTGATTCCTCCCATTTTCTTTTTCCCAAGAATTGCTTTAGCTATTCGTGGGGGCTTATTGTTCCATATAAATTTCAGGAGTGTTTGCTCCATTTCTTTGAAGAATGTCATGGGTATCCTTATAGGGATTGCATTGAATTTGTACAGTGCTTTGGGAAGTATTGCCATTTTTATGGTGTTGATTCTCCCCATCCATGAACAGGGGATATTTTTCCATTTCCTCGTGTCCTCTTTTATTTCCTGAAGTAGCGTTTTGTAGTTTTCTTTGTACAGGTCCTTTACTTCCTTAGTTAAGCTGATTCCTAGATACTTGATTTTCTGGGGCACAATTTTGAATGGGATTGTTTTCTTGATGTCACTTGCTTCTCTTTCACTATTTACGTATAGGAATGCCATGGATTTTTGGGTATTGATTTTATAGCCTGCCACTTTATTATACAAGCCTATTGTTTCTAGGAGTTTCTTGGTAGAGGTTTTAGGGTTCTCTAAGTATAGTATCATGTCATCTGCGAATAGTGAGAGCTTAATTTCTTCTTTCCCTATCTGGATGCCCTTAATATCTTTTTCTTGCCTAATCGCTATTGCAAGTACTTCCAGTACTATATTGAACAGCAGTGGAGAGAGTGGGCATCCTTGTCTCGTCCCTGACCTTAGGGGGAAGGGTCTCAGTTTTTCCCCATTGAGGATGATGTTTGCTGTAGGTTTGTGGTAGATGGCTTTAACTATATTGAGGAAAGTCCCCTCTATCCCCATTTTGGCAAGGGTTTTCATCATGAATGGGTGCTGGATCTTGTCAAAAGCTTTCTCTGCGTCTATTGATATGATCATATGATTTTTATCTTTTCTTTTGTTGATATGATGGATTATGTTGATTGATTTCCGAATGTTGAACCTTCCTTGCATCCCTGGGATGAATCCCACTTGGTCATGATGTATGATCTTTTTGATGAGTTGTATTCTATTGGCTAGTATTTTGTTGATACTCTTCGCATCCGTGTTCATCAGGGATATTGGCCTGTAGTTTTCTTTTCTTGTGGTGTCTTTGTTTCCTTTTGGTATTAGAGAGATATGGGCTTCATAGAAGCTATTTGGGAGAGTTTCTGTTTTTTCAATTTCCTGGAAAAGCTTGAGAAGAATTGGCAATAGGTCCTCTTTAAATGTTTGGAAAAATTTGCTAGTAAATCCGTCTGGGCCTGGGCTTTTGTTTTTGGGAAGACTTTTGATTACAGTTTCAATTTCCTTGATGTGAATAGGTCTATTCAGGTACTCTATATCTTCTTGATTCAGCTTTGGGAGATGGTAGAAATC